TATATATATATATATATATATATATATATATATATATATATATATATATATATATATATATATATATATATATATATATAAATGAAATGATATATATATATACGTCAGAAATGATTTATATATATATAATCATTTCTTTATATATCCTTCTCAGATTTTATTCAACTTTAAGAATCAAAACACACGGTAGAGTAACAACCGTTTCGAAGTAAATTTTTCTATAGACTACTAAGATATTACCGTGGACACCCAATTTGCTATTTTTGTGTTGACCCTCCCCCAGTTATGTTAATGGACCCCCAGTTATGTTACATGGACCCCCAGTTATGTTACATGTCGATAGGAACACCGGGTGGAAACTTCTGGTTTAGGGTACGCCCCATATAATACAATAACTCTTTATATAACATATAGAATATAACAATAAAATAAATTTGTTTTAATGGATTTCTCTATATGTGAGTACGAAGGTCTTTTTGTATAATATAACGAACATGGCGATTTTTTCTAGTCTTTAAAATGTACTTCAAATCAACTCAAGGACAGTCTCAATGGAACCTTTTCGCGCCAGTGTGTCAATCTTTTGCCGACAGATTCTCTTGACAAAGTTCTTTTTAGGCTGAAGTGCACTAACTTGAAAGCTTTTGATGGCATACTAAAAAACAAAAGTAAAATGAAAAGGCATCGCGTTTTCTTCTTTTCTTTTCGTCTTCTTCCAGTGAGGAATTACGATTCTGGTCCGGCTTCTCAGTTGTCAGAAATTCTACAATTGAAATCAGTCATCGAATAAGATGGGCTCGGTGACATTGTCATTGTAACGATTGCGCAGTGCCTAAGTGCATTTCTGCTCAGTACCTGGAAACGATGAAGGACAATATGAAAATTAGAAGAAAAATAGTGCAAAAAACAAGAAAACATATAGTATTCATTTTTATTTCTTATCGGGAATTTTTTCACAAAAGAATACATCGCTGATTATTTAAGTTATCTCATTTGAAGCTTGTTGTTTAGAAATTCTGAGGGGGATAACTCTAGATTGCTCAAATATCTAATCTCTTTTTATCATTTTGAAAAGAGATGTAAGCCAGGAATAACAAGAGAAAAAATTATGCCCCATTAAAGGAAAATATAATTTCTAACACATACACAGACACACATGCACACAGACAGATACACACTCCCACTCCCCCGCCACACACCCAGATATGTGTGTGTGTGTATGAGGGTAAAGGGTAGGGCAATTTAAATATTTCATAAAATAGCAAACCCAAAAAATTATATATATATATATATATATATATATATTTATTAAAGACATTTTATTATGTTTAACGTTGTTATTTTATAATAAAATGTCTTTAATAAATAAATTGTCGGACCTTGTCCATTTCATAATATATATATATCCTTTACCAGTCCCGTGATCTAATTATTTCAAGATGAGGCCGACTGTGCTTGCACTCTGGCGATCAGTGTTCAACCCAAAGTCTCGGCAGTTTATTCCTATATGACAAGAAGTTAAATATCTTGGAAGTGTTTTAAATGATGGAAAATTTATGTGTGTGTGTGTGTGTAAAAATATATAGAAAATAGGAAAGAACTCATTAGGTAAATAATCCAAAGTTCTTTAGTATTTTTGTTATTATTTTAAAAAAAATAGTGCTCGATACAAAAGTAGAGCATAAATATAATTATTTATTTAAAAAAAAAATTAAAAAAAAATTCGCTTGAAGATGGAACAGAGCTTAGTACTTTAATTCAATTTAATTCAAATAATTATATTGAAGTTTTCGGCTCTTGTTTTGAAACATGAGAACTCTTATGTACCGTTGGAATCAAATTTTTAAATAAATAATTATAAATATATATATATATATATATATATACGTGTGTGTGTGTGTTTGCGGGTACGCGTGCTTGTGTATGTATGAACGGGCTCTTGTGTGTGTGAAAGAAATAATTTTCTTTCTCATATATAAAAGAGAGAGAGAGATGAAAAAGAGAACATTTTTTAAACATTTTCAAAAGAGACAAAAGCTAATAAGACAAGATATCACATCAAAAATCACTAAAAATAATTTATAACACACACATACGCACACAAATATAACGAAAATACATACGCGCTTAAAGAGAGGGGGTTAATTAAAATATTCCATAAAAATGTAAAAAAATCTTTATATATATTAGGGGAGGTTGCATTTTTACTAGTTATAGAAAATCAGCATTGCACCCTGTGTAAAAACTGGAGTTTGATACAATAAGTAATGATAGCAAAACTTAGATTCATAGCTTTTACCAATTTTTGAGCATTTAGTTTTAAAATTGTCTTAAAAAATGTAAAAAAAAATACCCAATTTTCGCAAGTTTTTGCTTACAAACTGACTTCAAAATTTTACTATTTCAGGAATAAATTTAAATGAAGTTGATATCTTTTGTATTAGATACATTGAATGAAAAATATATTCAAACCAGAATTGTAATTATGAATCATCACAAAAGAATATGCAAGACAAGAAAAAAGTTTTGAGGATATGTACCTCTTCTTCAAATTTATTTTAAAATATTCTCTGCCATGTACGTCCCTTGTTTGGATTTTTTTAATAGAAATAGAAATAAATTACGATCTTCTTATTTTATGTGCCATGTTCGTTCAATGCGTAGGTAATCATGGCTCTCCGCAACTGCCTATCCTTTAGAGCACTTAGCAACGTTTGTCTTCTTACTATCCTTCCTAGTCCATGTTCTATTTACCCAAGCACGTTAAGATATTCACCGTTTGCCTCTGTGCCACTTACCTTCAAAATATTCTTAAGTGTTAAACTCTCTAAGCCCTCTTTATGTATCCCAGAAATTACAACTGTCTTTTTTTAAAGTTAGTCAGTCAGTTAAGTGCCGTACATGATACGCACTTGAGCGATCGTGTCTCTTTCGATTCATGAAGATTTTCTCGCACTAAGTTGCCATTTCTTTCTGCGGTAAACTCGTGGCTACTCAAGGCTATAGGACCTTTCCCAATGATTTTTTTGCACGTAAGTGAATCTAATGAACCCGATTGGAATTCAAACTTGGCTCTCTGAATTCTCATTCCGAGCCGATATCCATTACACCAGAACCAGCATTGATATTAAGCATGTGTTTATTTCATTTATATATTTTTAAAACTTCTTTATTGCACACATGATTCGTCCATAGTATTCTCAACATTCTTCTATAGAACCACTTCTCTCTTGACTCTTCTTCGTCTGTGAGGAAATTATCCAGTATTTACTGTTACATATGTATAAATATTACATAGCAGTTCAACACTTTTGTTTGTTTCTAATGAAATTTTCCTGTTTCTTAATACTTTGTTTAGCTTTTGGAAGGCATCATTTGCTATTCCAATGCAACTTCGGATTTCTGTGTCACATTTTTCGTTGTCTGTTAAAACAATTCCCAGTTTCTGTATTTCCTTGATTTCGACATCTCCAGTTCTTAGTCCGCATTTTGGGCTTTTTCTCCTCTAAACTCCCATACATTTTCTCTTCGTACAATTCATAGTTAGTCCTTTCTCCCTGCTTTCCTTTACTAGCTAGTCTAGGATTTCTTGTTGCTTTTCTATGTTTGCCATTAAAATGTAATTAATCACAAATATCAGCGCAAAATATAAAATATTTCCATGTCGCATAAAACATGCAAATTTCTCCATAGATTCCACAAAAGTCAGAAACACAATAAAAGTTCCGTCCACCTTCTGTTCCTTTGTCATAATACACGTAGCATTTACACTGAAAATATTTATAACTAGCAGTAGAGCCCGGCGTTGCACGGGGATGTAACAGTAAGAGATAGATCAAGTATCGACCATAATAAAGACTGAAAAATAAAATTGACAAAGATTATTGTTTAAGGTTGACGGATACGCATGTCTTAATTAGTTTTTTTGTTTGTTTTTTTTTGTGTTTGTTTTACGAATTGGTCAAACCCAAACTCAAACAAAAACATTGTTTTCAATCGTTATGAGTCTATCAATTGAATAGAATTTTATTATAAACAATTGTCTTGTAAATGAAATTTTTAAAGCATTCTGAATGTAAAAATAAAGAAAAAAGTGTGCAAGACAATAAGAAACACTACCTGCCAAAAAAAGTGAAGTTTTGTTGAAATCAGTTGAAAAATGTAGGAAATCCGATCCTATATATAAATGAACACACACACACACACACACACACACACACACACACACACACACACACACAACCTGGGTTTTATAATAAGTATAACTCGATATGAGTTGTCCCCCTTTCATTCTGGTGACAGAATCGTGTTTTAACGTGTTTTCAAATTGATTTCGTGCAAAAACAATTGTGTTTTTCCAATTTTTGGCGCTGTCAGAACCACCACAAGGTAATTTTACGCAGTCCTATGAAGTTTTGTTGAAATCGGTTGAAAAATGTAGGAAATCCGATCCAATATATAAACGTACAGACACACACACACAATCTGCGTTTTATAATAAGTAAGATTTACTTTTAAACGGTTCTAACTTAACACGTTATAGAATTGTTGACTGGCTGTTCTCCCCCGTTTGTAGAAAAACAGGAAATTGTCATTTACTGGAAATAAATGATAATAAAAATGCTGACGACAATTTCTCATGGGTGCCGCCATTTTAATTTCGATTGGATACCCTGCATTACAGACTAAACCAAATGACCTCCCCAACACATGATGATAAAATACGTCATGATACACGTCATATTGTACACTACTATATATTTACGCTGGTTTGGAAATAGCATTTAGCGTTAGTTAGTTTATAACATAAACGCTATGGATCCACATTTCACAGTGTCTTGAAAACGTATATATGTGTCGACAGCAGGCAATATGATTCGTAAGACATAGCAGCAGAGGAAATCGTAAGACGTCAACAGCAGAGGGAATCTTAATAAAAACCAAAGACAGGGACGCGTTGATTTTTTAACTCAATTTGTAGACATATAAAAATGTTTCGATTAATATAAAGAAACAATAATATTTCGAAAATTGTATTTACAGGTAATAGAAGCAGGAAAGAAATGATAAAAAGAGGCGTATAATAAAGAAAAATAAAGAAAAATAAAAAGAGGGATTGAACAAAGAAAAAGAAAGAAAAAAGAAAAAATTAAAAATATATTATATAAAGAAATAAAAAAATAGAAAGAGGCGTATAATAAAGAGAAAATAAAAAAGGGATTGAAAAAAGAAAGAAATAAAAGATTAGAAAGAGGCGTATAATAAAGAAGAAGAAAGAAAAACGAAAAGAGGAATAGATTCAAGAAAAAGAAAAGAAAAAAGATTAGAAAGAGGCTTATGATAATGGAAAAAGAAACAAAGATTAAAAAGTGCGTGTAATAAAAGAAAAAAAATTAATTGGAGGGATAAACTAATAAAAAAAAGAAAAATTAAAAAAAGCGATAGAATAAAGTAAAAGAAAGAAAAAAGAAAATTAAAAAGCAGATACAGTAAAGAAAAAGAAAGCAAAATAAAAAAGAGGGATAATATAAAGAAAGAAAAAAAAAAAGAATATAATAAAGAAAATGGAAAAAAAAAAAGAAAGAAAAGATTAAATAATAAGCGAAAAGTACATATTCTCAGACACGCCCCTTATTCTACTTTACCTATATTCGCACGAACAACACGCAATCAGAAATACAAGAAACACATCATCATAAAACCAAATTCTTTTCATTAAAATGCCGGATTCTTTTTACACTCTCGATATTTTTCTCACAAGTTTTCCCCTCCCGCAAATTCTGGTTCTCTTCACAAATGTCTCTTGGTTTTAGCCAAAGAAAATCTCTTCTGATATTTTATCTCTCCTTTTATTTTGGTAGAACCTAACGAATTCTGCCTTTCAATTTTCGGCAGAGCGAAAGGAATTTGAATAAACTAAACGCCCCATCATTTCTACGTGACTTAACGAAATTTCCCGGGATTAATATTTATACAGATTTGATTGTTTTGGCACCGTCCGTTTTGCCTTAAAACAAACAGAACGAGAGATTTGAAGCTGTTCGTTAGTATAAACGCGCACGAACATATATTCACACATGCGCACAAACACACGCAGAAACTCAAACATACACAGACGTTTGTCCCAATCAAGCGTAAGCATATAAATACATAACTATGTACGCGATTGTATGTCACTGTATCTATCAGTGCTCCCATGCGTTAATATTTCTAGTTAAATTAGGTGACAGGGCAACGAATGGGTTGCCTTGAAATTCGAATCCCTAATTAATGGTTTACTGTTGAATCGCTGCAGCTTTAAACGTAACAAAATTTAGTATCACACGTAGGCTGCACAGAACACTACAATATTAAACTCTTTAAGTCATGAGTCAATCGTTACCTATCCTCAGTATCCTCAAAATCTCCAATTCCTATTTTCTACGATTGCATCCAACCTTCTGTGATTCTTGAACCTTTGTATTCGTAACATAAGTATTTGGTTCTAAACGGTTAGCCCGCTAAGTAAATTGCAACACACACAGGCAGACGCACACACACACACACATATATATATGTAATATTGAAGGAATCGAGACTTTCCTCACAGAGTCAGAGTAGAGGTGGAGTGGTCATGTCTTGAGAATGTCTGATGACGGGATACCCAAGATCCTAATGTACAGCCATTTAGATCAGGGCTACAGGAATGTAGGACGCCCATGGCTCAGATATAAAGACAAGTCGAAGGGCAACTTGTCAGTTGTCAATATAACACCATTGGGCGCTTAGCCTTGGAGCGGGTAGAGTGGAGATCAACGTGTTTTAGTGGACTCGCCGGTTTTCAATCTGCTAGTCTGAATCGTCTTTAAGAAGCGAGATCAAGATCTAAAAGGTCAGCGATTCTAACAGTGACCGCAACCCACAAGCCTCCTTTGCAAATCACTTGCGGGTCCTAAGTGTCACTTAAGATTATCGCACAAAATTCACAATTGAATCAGTTGGTTAAATTCTCAGATCCTCATACGTCGAAACCGTTATATATATATATATATATATATATATATTGGAAGAGATATCGAAAATGACGTGTATATATTTTCAGAAGTGAAGAAGATATATATATATATATATATATATATATATATATATATATATATATATATATATATATATACATACATATTAGTGAATATACATAATATCCAACGTCGATAGCAGGACTCAAAGTTTTCAGCAGTTCTTGCAATCTTCAGCACCTGAAGATTGCAAGAACTGTATATATATATATATATATATATATATATATATATATATATATATATATATATATATATATGCAGATATAAATGGATATATATATATATATATATACTAGGTGTATTAAAAATACTTTTACAGACTTTGGTGACGGGCTCCTCACACCAAGTCCATATAAACATATGTCCGCAAATCATTCATTTTTGATTTATTCAGTCTAAAGTTTACGGTAGACGCTGTTAAATATAAGATACAATCCCAAATACTTTTACAAACTTTGAAGGTGGATTCCTGATACCAAAACAAGGTAAAATGTCCATATAAGCATATGTTGAAGATAGACTAGCCAGAAATATACACGGATGACAAATGCAACCTATTCCACATGGGTGGGAACACAGCGCCATCTACAGTATATATATATATATATATATATATATACACACAAATTATATCTCATAGTCGGATCATCGGTGACTAAACTGATTCCTTCTCCGGGAATTTCTGGTGAGGACAGTGGCTAGACAATTAGTAATCTTAAAAACAGCACCTGTTAAAGGAAAGGTGAATCTTTTTGTATTGTCAACGATCAATGAGATAGAATACCCTCCATAGCTAGTTATTCAGCTAGTGCCGTCATGACACGGCATGACTGGGTGGAGCTATCCGTAGACCGAAGACAATTGCCAGGACGGGCGGTTCCCCGATGGAATCAACGGCCAGGTGTCAGTGAACAAGGCGACGTTTAAGTTAAAAAACATCGGCTTTGACTTGATTTGGAGACGGTTGGACTCCGTCAGGTTCACTTGGCCAGGACACGCTGCGCATGAATGAATACCTCTCCGGCTTTCCACGCAGACATATGGAGGGAAATGACCAGGTGCCCAGCTGCACGGCAATCCTACGAACACATCCAGTCATGGGTCTGATGATGATGATGATGATGATGATGATGATGATGATGATAATAAATAAAACATTTCCAGAGAGTGGGAGAAATAAAAAGGAAATATAAAGAGAATACTAATTGGAGTGTAATAAGAGATCAAGAAGGCGGTTTACGTTAATAGTGGAAAATACCCAAGAGGAGAAAGGCGGGAAAAATGGGTGATTGACTGAGTGTGATTGAGTGAGTGAGTGAGTTTGTGTGTCTGTGTGTGTGTCTATGTGTGTGTGGCTGAAGACGTTTAAAACGGATATAACAATTGGAATGAACGACGAGTAAGAGGCGAAGGGATATGAACAGACTAGAACAAAGAAATAAGGAAGGAAAAAGAAAAACGAAGTGAGATTGTAAGAAAACTGAAAAAAAAGAAGAAATTCCTGAAACGGCAAAAAAAACAAAACAAAAAAAAATAACAAAAAAAAAAACAAAACAAAAAAAAACAAACTCTTAAAGGATAAAGATCCAAATAACACGGCTTACGGCCACATAACGTTTGAACATCGGTTCCCGTAAAATCACCGAAGTTAAGCAATATTAAACCTAGTCAGTACCTAGATGTTTGACTGCTTGGGAATAGCAGATGCTCTAACCTTGGGTGTGCGGGTGGTGTAATAGATAACGGTTATGAATTGTTAATCGGAATGCCGAATTGGGTTCGTTATATTCACTTACGCACAAATACCCATTTGGGAAAAGTATGAAACCGCCTCTTCTCTCTCAGTTAGGAGTTAATTAGTAAGACTTATATCACTAAACCATTATTATCGATCCCCCACAAAAACATTCTTAGAATCTAAAATATTTTCTGGCTTTAAATAACCTGCAATGGTTTGATAAGCTGTAGAAAACGAATCTATCCAAATCACACACTGGATTTGAAAGAAAAGGAACAGGGAAAACAATGGAGTATGGTAAAATGGAAAAAAGATAAGGAGATAGAAAATACATAACAAATAGATATGAAGAGATTGAGTTAGATAGAAAAGGAACAGTTAATAAATAGATATGAAGATAGAGAGATAGAGATAGATAGAGAGATAGAGATAGATAGAGAGATAGAGAGATAGTGTGTATATATCTGTATGCGGGAGAGTGTGAAAGATAGGAATTTAAGAAAGGACGGAATTATACGATATACAGCCGAAGAGGTTAACAGACTGACAAAATGGATAATAAAATTGAAGAATGAATCTGAAATTATTTTTTGGGCCTTGATCAAAATAAGCTTTGAAAAATAGGTGTCACGAACCTCGTTTTCCCTTCTCCCCCCTCTTTCAATTTAATTTACATTACTAAAAAAGAAAGAAAGAAGTAAAACGTTAATGGTAACTAATTCGAAAAAGGTGTCTGCCATTCTATCGACCAAATAAGCACAGCTGGACATGGCTTCCTCGAGTCTATCCAAGCAGACGAACGTGAACATAAAAGTCTGAGATGCCAAAGTCTGCCATGAATTAAGTACAACTTAAAATAAAGATCTATCTTGTCAAGAATAAACAAGATCCCGAGGGTTCCGAATATCCGGAGGATTGGGTGAATATTTAAAGAAATATGATATCCACTGTTATCTATGAAATAAGCCATTTTTTTTTTACTGTATTAAAAATGTACGCGGAGAAAGGAAATAAGAAAAAATGAAATGAGAGCGATTATTTATACGTCGTGAATATCTAAAGGTTTTCTCATATATTAAGTGATGACTACAATAATAGATGGAAGGTTTTTGTCGATATAATACGTTGTACCTTGTCTGGAGTCAAAATCAATTCTATGCTTTTGCAGTGAGATCAACGCCGAATAATATCTCGAAAAGAGACACGAAGCTGCCATGATGAACAAATGACTAAAGCGTCCGACAAGATAAGAGCCCTTGCTGCCGGATGTAGTTTATCGTCATACAGTGAAAGGAATTATTTGAAAAATGTTTAATACTTATTCATTTATTCAAATACTAACGCTGTACCATTACTACTTCCACATACACATATATACTATGTATGCCGTGACAATATTTCGCGGTACCCTTAGGAGGACATTAGTTTATCGCGGCACGGAATCACTGCTCTAGACACTGCTGCTATGACTGCAGTATATGTGGCTTAGGAGACTTGTGGTGTGACGTGAAGTTACGCTATACTTTTTGTCGTATTTTATATAACCAAACAGTTTGTATAGATCGCTAGTATTACTTATTAATCTGTCGCTGTAATTTGCTGACGAAACGTTTGAAGTTGTGAAGGAGACATTGAATTAATTTTTTCTTGATTAGTGCAAATACTCTTAAAACAATTTGAGCATTTGCACGAACATATTATGAATTCTCTTAGTGTTGTTAAACATCTACTTTTTTAAAAAGTACTTACAGTTTTGGTGCGTTGACATTATTTATTCAAAATACACGGCTTTAATCATGATTTTGATATAAAACGGTTTTGATGTAGCACGTTCGGTTTCTATAAAGTAAGCAATTAACTATGAAATGCCCTGAATGTTAAAAATGACATTTTTGCCTTATTATCAAAATTATCAACGAATGCCGAGCCTACATTCCAACTCTGATTACAGAAATGGCATAAACAGCTACTTTTGTTTAGACGCTTTATCCTCTGTGCACTTATTGGCCTGTTCTTTTCGTAAGACATTGGAAAATAAAGAAAATATTACATAGTTTAACATTAAGAGTAATATTGCTAGTAATACCATAAAGTATTTTAGAAGAACTAAGCGAATTATCAGTTTGGGGGCTGTTTGTAGAATTTGCGACTCTTGGGATTCCGTTCTGGAAAATACAAGAGATTGTACTACTGTCGGTTGAAATTTATAAAATATTTTCAGGAAAATAGGTTTCTCTAGTCCAGTAGCTGTTATAGCTTTTTCCAGTATTGATGAATGTTTCCTTTTTAACCTTTTATTTGAAGTAGTGTCGAATGTCAACATTTTGATTACGTTATTATTTTCTCTTTGAGTTACATGTGATATTCATTTTAGCTGTTGTTTCTGTTGGTAGTCCTCAAATGATGTGATTTCTGTTATTTGGCACAGTTCTTTGTTTGTAATTCTATAGCGCCAGTCCACAAAGTTCAAATAACTGGGGTCCAAGCAATAGGATAAATAACAGGGTAGACTTGAATTTTTAGTTTTGGGTGACAGCCAGTCAAGAAGAATAATTGTAAATGCACATCTATGAATAAGGTAAAAGGAAACCACTCCATAATCTTTACGAAGAAGAAATGACAATTCACAAATGATAAAAAGAAACAAAAGAAGCAGTAGGGGACCATGATTTTCGGGTTCTTGAAGAGACATGGAATTAAGAAAATCAGTGACTACAGCAGTGTTAAACTTGTGTCACACTCTTCTTCTTCTTCTTCTTCTTCTTTTTTGTGGCGTATCTCTTCAGGACCTGGACGATTATGGCTTTCCGCAACTTCTTATCCTTTGGAGTAATGTTTGTCTTTTCACTCCCCTCCTCATTCCTTGTTCTGGGATCCTTTTTACACGAGTCCGTGAAGTAGCTTACTCTCTGCTTTTCCCTGTCGCTCTCGCCTTCATTATGTCCTGTGAGTGTCAAATTTTACAAGCCTTCTTTCTTCATTATATATCCCAGAAATTTCAATCGTCTCTTTCTGATTCTAAGTATATTCATCCTTTTCGTTTCCAATTTCCTTAAAACCTGTTCGTTACTCACATGCTTCGATTGGTATTCTTGGAAATCTTCTGTAGAACCACATGTCTGTTGCCTCAAGTTTTGTCTTCATATGTGAAGAACTTGTCCAGTATTTATTTCCATATAGGAGAAATGTTATTGTATAAAAGCTGAGCACAATTTTCTTTGTTTCTAATGAATTTTTCCTGTTTCTTAATGAACTACTTAGATTTTGGAAGGCATCTTTTGGTATTTCAATGCGTTTTCGGATTTTGATATCGTATTTTCCGTCTTCCGTTAAAACACTGGAGCTACTTAAATTTTTTATTTGCTTGATTTTCAATTTGTAGATCGCATATTTGGCTGTTCCTTTTGCTGTCAATTCGATGTCAAAACTTACGAGAATAATTTTGTTAATTTTGCAGGAGTTTGAAAATATTGACTCTGATTTTGTTCCCCATTATGTGCTTTACAATTAAAGAGTTCTGACAATGATACCCAGCGATGCGTGATCCAAGCCCCATTTCTTTGCTTCGCTACGCTACGCAGTTGTTTCTTTAACTTAGACATTAGTATCTGCCGTAAAATTGAACGGAATTGTTTTAATTAAAGCATTTCGAAAGGTTTAAGCGCTTTGGCGGTCGTTTATTTAACGCATGTTATGGTAAGCGCGATAACATAGCAAGCAATTTTTTTTCTTTTTTTCGAGATGTGCGGTGGTGTAATGGAAGCAGCTTGGAGTGAGAAATCGGAGAGCCGAGTTCTAAATTTCAGCTGAGTTCGTTACATTTACTCATGCGCAAAGACCTTTGGTTGTAATCGTACAACGCCCTTCCCGGTCTTCCAGGACTTCCAACACTGCGGCTAGTTGCTGAAGTGACCGCTTCAATCCAGAGTTAACCTTATGCCACGTTGTGATTTAAGTTTGATCATGAGGCAGCTAAGATCGAATCGTTGTGTTGGGCTGGTCCAAGCAGGGCGATGACGTACAGGAAAAAAATAACACTCGTATATACCGAACAAAAGTAAATACTGTTTTTATATCAGTCATCCGTACAATAATTGGTTTATATCAGAGTTCGCCTGCAATTAATTATCAGCCCAACCCGCGTCTAAATCGGAAGTGATATTATTATTGACCTGATAAAATCTGGTTTTGCTGTTGTTGGTAAAGTTTGGCACAAGGCTGAAGTCGGAGGCTTTCGTGGGCAGATAATCCCGTCGCCCTCTTCCCTGACTCTGGACTCATCTCTCTCTCTTTTATGTCTTCTCTCTTCTACTAACTTCGCTTCGCGCATTCGTATTTATGGACATTCACTCAAACTGGCGAAGTAAGAGAATTCGATAATTCTGGAGAATTGCCTTCTTTCACTCTCTCATATCATTAACTCTCACTAAATATCCTCAGTGAGGGTGTGTGGCTTATCCACCCTCCTGGTATTTCAACTTAACTTTCGACCAGGGGAATCAACTCGAAATTCGTTGTTTACGAAAAATGAAATTTTCGCTTTACAGCTTGCGTTTTCATCTGTGTGTCAATTAACATTTTAAAATAACGTTTAAAATAACGTTGAAAAGCTTTTAATGAAAGCAATATCATATACGCAGTATTTGTAGCGTACTTTAAATTTAAATCGTGGCATGAGAGATGTTCTGCAAAATTTTTGGCTCAACCAAGAAAGGATTCACTCTTCATTTCTGATGTTTATTCCCTGGGTCAGATTTTTGGAAGTTTGTAGGGTCAACAACTTTTCAGCGCGCCCTCTCCTTTTCATGATTTTCATGGCACATCTTGAAAGTTTTACTCGAGTGCCGATCGTTGGCGTTGATTTAAACTGTGTTCTCTTTTTCCCAGATGAATTTGTAATAATGAATGTAACCATCTGTTGAGTTAGGGAAATTTTGCTACAAGGCAGAATTAATACAATACACTTTCAGTTCACTCAATGGCTTGGGAAATTATCTGCTAATCGCCAATCGACAACGAGTGTACTAATTTAGCATTTAGACTAGAAACCTAAATCTATTAGTAGAAATTCGCTCTTCGATTAATAAAGCATCCCCAAAAGTTAAGATTTATTTAGAGAGAAACTAATATTGAGGATTCTCGTACAGACACTAAGATTACACACAGATACAGACGCACACACACATACACGAATACACAGGCAAACATGCGCGCACAGCAACACCCGCGCACACACAAATATACATTATTTTCATCACTTCACACCAAGCAAGGCAATCATGTCGTTAAGGCACAAGAGAGTTAGTGAGTGAAAGAAAAGGAAAAATGTCGTTTAAGAACGGGGACAATAAAAGAAAAGGAATCAAGAAGATAGTAGATAACGACTGATATTGCATTTGAATTTTTGAAGATGAAAATTGGCTGGAAAGCAAGAAGTCGGTAGAGAGTTCCACAAGCGAGAAGTGCGAGAGAAGAAACTGTTAGCATAAGTAGGTAAGGCAATAAATTTATAGTCTATGATTGAAAAAGCGTTGATTTTACCCAATAGATATTTATTTTCAAACGTAATATCTTTTCTGGTCAGTGTACTTAACCAAATGTTTCTCCATGTGTCCTTGTCCAAGGCGAGACTTTAACTCTGAGAACATCGTCTGTGATTAAACATGGAGGAAGATGGGGTTCCACCAGGCCTAATTCCCCAAGAGGAAATAATTACTTTCCAGGTATGTAGCGTAGGGAAGTGCATCGTTGCGCAGTAACTTTGTGATCTTGCGAAAACATCAGGCCATGAGATTGATGATGGTGATGA